GTCCTTAAAGTCTTAGAAGAGGTAAAGTATCAGAACAACTTTAATTTCCCTATAGCAAAAAAATATATAGTTATCATTATACCAAATCTGTGCTACGACTATTAAATAACATACATCATCTTTGTTTTATGATAAATTATCTTCATTCTAAATTAGAATCAATAGTTTCATATTATTATTGTAATATAGTATATTACTTTAATATACTATGACTTCATGATATCTATATCTACTTACATATACACCTACACACACTAAATGTTATGTATTTGAAAAACAACAGATGTATGCAATTCATAGAGAGAACACTATGGTTTACTTATTTAAAAGTTGAAATTTTCTCTGCAGATAACTAGCAATATTAAATAATGTATGCGAAGATGCTTTATAAACTATAATATGCTGTACAAAAAAGATATTAAGGATATTAAGGATCAGGTGTTAATTTAATAGAAGTATTTATATGTACTATTTATAACAAATATAATTAAGCTGCAAATATTGATAAACTATTGTTACATTAAAAATACATTTTCTGTAGAATACAAACCTAAAATGTGTTGAGGAGCATTTGACGAGATACAGCATGCATTTATGATTAAAACACTTAATAAAATCTGTATAGAAAGAAAATGCCTCAACATAATAAAAGCCATATATGACAAACTCTCAGCTAACATCATACTTAATGGTGAAAAACTGAAAGCTTTCCCTCTAAGATGAGGAACAAGATTAAGTATGCTTGCTCTCACCACTCGTATTCAGTATAGTTTTGGAAGCTATCTAGAGCAGTAAGGCAAGAGAAAGAAATAAAAGACATCCAAATTTGGAATGAAGAAGTCAAATTGTCACTTTTTGATGGCATGATTCTCTGTATAGAAAATCCTAAAGATGCTACCAAAAAAAAAAAACTATTAGAAACAATAAATAAATAGATACAGTAAAGTTGCAAGATACAAAATCAATGTATTAAATGTGCTGTGGAATATAGTACTGTTATGTGCCACTTAACTGGAATATGTTCTAAGAAATGCGTAGTTAGGGGATTTCATCATTGTGCGAATGTCAAAGTGCACTTACACAGACCTAGATGGTACAGCCTACTGCACACCTCGGCTTCATGGCATGGCTTATTGCTCCTGGGCTACAAGCCTGTAAAACATGTTACTGTATAAAACAACACGAGATTAGATCAAGTGCAAGAGAAAATGGTGCAATCAAGAGACAGTAAACATGAGATGTATGAGGCTGCTGACAGTGTAGCACTGCACACTATTTTACAACAAATTATTTTTATAAGTAGAAATAGCATACTCTAAAATAATGATAAAAATATATATATAGCATTGTAAATACATAAACCAGTAACATAATCATTTATTATCACATAATTTATATGCTATACTTTCACACAAATGGCAGTGCAGTGGGTTTGTTTACACCAGCATCATCACAAACATGTGAAGAATACATTGGGCTCAGATGACAAAATGGTTATGCTGTGACTAGGTGATAGGAATTTTTCAGTTTCATAATAATCTCATAGGACCACAGTCATATATGTGGTCCATTGTTGACCAGAACATTGTTATACAGCACATGACTATAATGCCAAGAAACAGGGAGCTTCCAAAGAAATGGAGGTACATCAGTACCCATAAATAAGTGTTCTAATATGAGGAATATTAATGGTAGATAAAAACAATTTAAGATGTTAATAATGTGGTCATCTAAAGGAGAAAAAAAAAATGTATGAAAACATGGAAAGCATTCAAAGCTAAGCCTCAAGAAAAATCAGAGAATGTGTTCATACGAAAATTGAAGCTGCCTCAGGAGATAATGAGATAAAAGAATGTTAATAATGGATTGACATTAAAAATATAGGTAATCAGCCTTCCATCGCATCCAAATCCTTATCTTAAAGATAATATACTTGACCCTTCTGTTAGATATAGGGTAAAAGAAGCTATAGTTTCTCCTATATTAAATTTTTATACTTTATAATGATATTAGATATCTATCTCCAATATCCATGTATTTGTGGTGAGATCATCAATTCTAAACCACATGCTACCCTGAGAAATCTGGCCAGAGCTGAGCAGTGGTTTAGTTGACCTTTATTTGACCTTTGTACTAGAGCTTTAGAACAAATTGTCTAGCCTACATTCATTATCTGTACAACTATCAGACTTCTGAGAGGTAAAAATACTCTAAAAGCAAAGAACGGGAAAGGGAAACCTGAATGACCTATGTACATTTCGCAGCCCATGTGAGAGCACAGTGATCAGAAGATCATGTGTGGACCTTAAGGACAAAAAACAATATGAATCAAAAGACTAAAGGCAGCCCAATAAACCAAAAGCCATCTTAATAAGGCTGTCTCTCTACCTGCCTGTCAAAATGCTTTTCCACCTGTGCAGATCCATTCCTGCCTGTCCAGCTGTCTCCACATCTGATCCCTCCTTACCTGATCAGCTATCTCCTTCACGGGCCTACCATTCCCAAATTCTTCCTAGCTATCCAACTGTTTCTCCCACCCGCCAGCCCCATATTCTGCCTATCCATTCATCTGTTTCCTCTACTCTTCCTAAGACCTTTTTACCAGCCCCATTATTGTCCAACCCAATCAAATATCTTCCTCGCCCTCCAGCCCCAGTTGCTCCCAGATTTTCTAGCAGTTTCCCTTTTTTGCCAGCCCCAGTTCCTTCTGGACTACCTGACCATCTACCCCACCCACCCCAAAGTTCTCCAACCATTCCTGATTCTGACTCACAGAGCAAGTTATTTTACAAAACTTTCAAACCCAAACATTTCCTTCCAGTACGGCATTGTACCCCAACCACTCTAATGCCTGCCCTTGTTCATCGTTCCCTTCCAACTCAACTGGTTGTTTCTCCAACCCCTTTAGAAGCTCTCCCTGTTTTGAAGCATTCGGGTTTAGCCAGTCATCCCCCTCATCAATCAGTACCCACTCTTTCTTATATCGTTCCATTGTCTGAACATCCTGCTAGCTTAGATCCTTTTCAGTCAGTCCAGCAATCTTTTCCACAAACCACAACACTATCAAATCTGCCCCAGGCCTTTGTAGACTGTCCACCTGCCTCAATTCTCTCCCATCCACCTCCCCATCATTCTCCATCCTCTTCTTTGTCTTCATCTCCTTCTATTTCTACATCCTCTTCTTCATCCTCCATACAGTGTTCTTCCTCTTCATCCAGTCTTGCCTCTCCTTCACCTTCCTCTTCTACCTCTCCACCTTTACATCCTTCGTCTATTCCTCTTTTTTCCTCACCTTTGCATTCATCTCCTTCTCCATGTTTACTTCCAACTTACTTAGATTTTCCTTCTCCACTTCCTCCTGTTTCTTCTTCCTTTATGATTTCTTCTTCCTTTCCCCCTATGCTTCACTCTCCCTCTCTTTCTACCTCCCCATCTCCTTTTATTTCTATCCATCCCTTCAATCCTCACTGGGGGAAGAAAGTAGAGAAGAGAAGAGAAGGAAGAGGAGTAGTGAAGAAAGAAATAGAGAAGAAAAAGTTGAGAGACGACAACTTTAAAGGTAAATAAATTAAGTTTATTAGATAATTTGTAGATTTAGCAATATTTGTTTGGGAAGGGTGATTGAAGGGGAAGGTATGTATAAGACTAGACATAGTAAGCCTAAAAGGAAGAGAGAGAAACATACTTTCAATGTTTAGAAACTTGTGTTAAATAACATCTTGCTCTTCTTGATCTCCCTGTGGTCACAAAAGGATAGTCAGGAATCTAGTACTCATTGACTATTCCAGTTTGTCCAAATAAAGATATATATGGGTATTGGAGATAGGTATATGTCACATATGTCACTTTCCAAAACGTTTGTTATCTTCATTGACTTGATAATTGAATTCAAATAAATTAATAATAAGTACCCTTAGGATTCACACTAATGGCCCTATTGCAGCAGCTGTCAGCTTTTTTATATACCTCATTCCCATCCTACTCCCATCCCCAAATCTTTCTTTGTCCACTTTGTGCATATGCTGAAATGTAATATGCTATAAGTTTCCAGAAGTTGAAAAATTCTAATAGAAGATTATATCATCCCCTAATACTTTTTGAATGGCACTTTGGCACACTAAAAGTGGAACTCTAAATTAAAGGTACCCCTTCTGTGGCATGAAAACCATGCCTATATATGTGACACAACTAAAAATAAATGTGTACACTCTCCTCTGTGGAGTAAGATCCAAGCACCTAAACCTAGTAAACTAAGATGGAAATTCCTGCCTACCCTGACAAGTGATTTTTACCTTTTCTATCTGCCTGAATCTTCAGCCAACTCTATTAAGGTTATAGGAATACCTACCAGCCATGGCAGTACGGCATTGTACCCAGAACAAAAGGTAATGCAGATTATTATTATCCAGATAGGAATGCTCTTAAAGAACTGAGGGTTGACTCTACATATCTACAGGATTTCCTTCTATAGCTGTCCTAAACAACAGAGGAATACGACTTAATAATCAAAGCTATGAATAATTGGGCATTCCTACATAAAGATGGAGTGCTTTATTGCAGTGGTCCCCAACCTTTTTCACACCAGGGACAGGTGCTCCTATGAGAATCTAATGCCTGATGATGTAAGGTGGAGCTGAGATGGTGATGCTAGCACTGGGGATTGGCTACAAATACAGATGAAGCTTTGCTCACTTGCCCGCTGTTCATCTCCTGCTGTGTGGCCCAGTTCCTAACAGGCCACGGACCAATACCAGTCTGTGGCCCGGGGTTTGGAGACCCTTGCTTTATTGGAACTATAATTGCACAACCATTTTTATTCTATCGATTACCCTAAATTCCCATTCCATTATATCTACATATTTCTCCAATATCCTTATATGTGATTATCTGGACACACATGCACAAACACACACACACTACATGAATGTGTCATTTATATGTGTATAAAAAGAAGTTAACTTCATTTAAATGTACTAAACATTTTTATGTATGGTTCACAGAGCTATAGATAATGCCTTGCCTTCATCATTGTCAAAAAATGATCATAAACATCAGAAACATCTCTTATCCAAAATCAATCGTGATAAAGAAATGAAGGAAAACAGCAGGACGAACTTGGCTGCTAACAAAGATGTGTTCCAGCTTAAACTGGTGGAAACTCAGAAACTACTAGAAGATCAGCATCTAAGCAGCTTGCAAGTATGAAATTATTAATATGTTATTAATATTTTAATACCTAGTAATAATATTGTCCCATTTTTTCAGTGCTTTTCACTAAAGAAACATACGCCATTAGCCAAGGATAGGCTATGAAAGAGAATGTGGATGAATCAGCACAAATTTATCACAGATACTAGAAAATAATTTTTTAGTTTTTTTCTCTACCTTTTATTCATTTTTCTACTTCCTCTGTTCTTCTCTTTCCATCTCATATTTAGAAAAATATGCTTTATGAATGTTATTTTCTGACAAACATGAAAGCTATTTGAAGGTACAGTGTAACATAAGTATCATTGTTAAAGATTAAATTATAAAAAACAAGCTCATTATTATAATACATGTAGACATTAGATTCTTAATAAATATAGGGCACAATTAGGTAGAAATAGTGTTTCTATTCTATAATTTAGGGAATTGACTTGTTATTTTCCAACCAGTGAATGGGATTTCCACTAGTTTTCCTAAAATGTTCATACACTTTCTTTTTCATGAGTAATTACACACATTTATGAGATTTTAGTAAGCTGATATAAAGATTAAATTCCTAACCTTGCCCTGATTCATTTAATAATTAAGCAATAGTGGCAAAGCCAAAAAAAGCAAAGCAGGAGGCTTTTTGTTGTTCAGATGAAGTGTCTTTCTGCCATAAACAACTATAAATTTGAATGAAATATATGAAACATGTTTTTAGAGATTAGATAATGGACAGTACAGGATATGATCTTGAAAAGGGGGAAAACAAATGAGGTAAGCCCTATGATCACATAGATTTTTTTACCAAGGCATATTCTCTGGATAAGCCTCAAAAAAATCCACAGGTTAACCAACTGCCTGCCAAAAAAAAACACTCTCTTAAAGAAGACTGAAATCTAGTTGTACAACCTAATGCTTATAATGCCCAACATTCAATCACAACTTACTAGACATGTGAAAAAGCAGGAAAATATGGCTCATAACTAGAGGAAAAATTAGCAATATAATCGGATGAAGAAATTACAGAGATTATGGAATTAATAGGTAGGAAATTAAAATCATTTGTATCAATATTTTCAAGGAACTAAAATAAAATAAAAATAAATAATGAAAAAGGATATTTTAGAAGAACCAAACAGACCTTCTAAATCTGAAAAGCATAATATCTGAAATGAAAATTTCACTGGATGGGCTTAATGGTGTAGGCATTACAGACAGAAAGATCAGTGAACTTGAAGGCATGACAATAAATATCATCTAACTTAATCACTGAGAGAAAAAAGTCTGGAAAAAAATAAGCAGAGTGTTAGTGGCCTGTGAGACACTATCAGGCAATATAACATAAATTTATTAAAATCCTACAAAGGAGAAATGGAATATTGAAAGAAATAGTGGCTTAAAATGTTTCAAATTTAATGAAATTATAAATCCACAGATCCAAGAAGCTCAACAAACTCCAAGAAAGATAAGCATGCACAAGTGCACGCATGCTTACACATGCACCCACACACGTACACCACAAAGGCACATCAAAATCAAATTTTAGAGAGAAAAAAGATATATTACATGCATGAGAACTTTTTAAAGTAAGATGGACAACTAACTTCAAGCTGAAAGACAGTGAAACAATATTCTTTAAATTCTTAGAGAAGAAAAATGGCGATGTAGAATTATGTATCCAACTAAAATATCTTCTTGAAATGAAGGGAAAATAGGCATTTTCAAATAAACAACTGAAAACCACTGCACTACACCAGCATCTTCACTACAAGAAATACTACAGGAACTTTTTTAGGCAGAAAGAAATTTCTATGAGGTGAAAACTCAAATCTATTACTGGTTGTTATATGGTGGATAGGGACTGACTCCAAAGAAGCATGAGGAAACTTTTGGCAGATGGGAAGGTTCTTCTATATGTTTGATATGGTGGCTATGTGTGAATAATTTGTCAAAATCCATTGAACTATACATTCGAAATAGGTATATTTTATTATAGATAAGTATACCCTCAATAAAGTTGATTTAAAAATAAAACACAAACACACACAAAAAAAACTTAAACACAAACCATGTTAAGTCTAGGGTAGTTGATACCAGTAACTTATGAGCAAGACTTGAATCTGATCATGTTTCATTGTTTAATGATACGAAAAATTCTGGGGGAAAAAGTACAGTGTAGTGAAATCGGAAGTTGCTGAACTTCTTTTGAGGTACTTCAGGAAATGAAGCCATTACAGACCTATGCAAACAAATCTTAGAGCCATGGACATCACACTTATATCTAAAAGGACCTTCTAAAACATCTCATTATAGGTAATCTCAAAGAAACTCCTCCAAGCCTGACTTCCTTATTACTGTCAATTAAAGTAACACAGTTTCAAAAACAGGCATTGGAGGATCTGTGCTTTGTTTTGTTCTCCTAATTAGGTTGAAATGATCATCTCTTTAACAAAAGATCACAGTACTGAAGAATGCAATAAGCAGGGACAAATCCTAGTAATATCAAAACAAATTCATGTGAATCTTTTTCAAAACTTATTTCACAGTAATATATCAATCAGTAAACATTAATTGTGCAAACTAAAAATATTTCTATTCTATAACTGATTTCCTTGGTTTCTTAGTTAAAAAAATACTGTATTTTAGTTTCATATCAAAATATTTAAATTTTCTAAAATTTGAAAAATCTTAAGGGACACTACTTTTCTTTGAGTTCATTTAACTTTTTGACTACCTCTACAATTTAAAGTAATTTTGAATCTATTTCTATATATGTGATACAGATTAATACATTCTAGATATGTGTGAGAAATTATAAATATTTTAAAACATTTATTATACTTTAATGTTATAAAATTGTATTATATACTAATAAATTTTATAAAATTTCAGTGATATAGTGATGAGAATGTCCATAGAATTTATGGAAACTATTATTCTGCTAAATCTCAAAAAAAGAGCCATTAAAAATCAATAGTTCTCAACCCTAAATCCACATTATAATTACCTGAGGAATTTTGAAATTATAATAATACCAATACATGGAACCCATCCAAGTATTAAATCAGCAGGACTAAGGCATAGATATTTTTATAAAGCTCCTTATGTAATTCTAAAATGTAGCCACAGTTGAGAACTCTACTATAGAGACCACAACAAAGATATAGCCCTTCCAACAGGGAATTCATTTTAGGAACATAGAGCTTTTAGGAGCTTCATTTAAGTCCAGTGAAGATTTCAGGAAAAAAATATTTGAAAATAGCTGTTTTTTAGAATTTCACAACACTCCATATTCTGGAATAGTGATAGCAAAATTCTTTTCTAAGCTATAACTGTGACTAGAATAATTGGATAGTTAACATTAGGTGTAGAAATTAAGACAAACACATTATATTATAAGTCTCTGTTAGCTTGCTCTTTCTCACTCTGAAGATTGTTCCAGGGATATAGATTATTTACATACCTACACTGTTTATAGTCATTTTACTGTATTTTAAATGCAAAGGAGAAAATAACAGTGTGTTGAATCATTACTTTTGGCATTTAAAAATTTCTAAGCTATAAAACAATATTCTTTATTTTCTTTCAGAAATTTTGTGATGAAGTTAATCAGATAACAAATTCTGAAACTCTTTCAAGTATAGACAGTCTTGAGGCTGGAGAACATGAAGAAATATATTTAACACTTATTAATAAGGAGCCTTCTAAATCAATCCAGAAGAATTCTATTTTCCTCAAATCAGCAAATCTACAATCAACTAATCTAAGCCTCTTTGATGAAGATAAACTGTCATTCTCTAAAACTCAACATATAAATAATTGGCTAATAAATTTAGATGATCCAAATACTCAAACTGCCACACCTTTCTCAGATATTTTAAGTAAGCCTAATGTTCTACCTTCATATGAATGTTTTAATAGTAAAGAAGAAAATTCTTCTGCTCTAAGAACTGTGGAAAGAACCACAGATACTGCTAATAATTCAAGAGCCTTTGTATCTAGTCCACCCACACATGTACAAGATAAAAGTGAAAAGACCTCTGAAACTAGCACTATGAGGATAGCTGATTCTTCTTCTGAGGCATTCAAAAGAGAGAGACCATTAGTTAGTGAGAGCCCAACATTTAAATTCAGCAAAGCATGGAACACTTCAGATTCTCTAACCCAGGAAATGGCTACAATTTCAGACCAAGAGAAATATTCTGAATTAACTCAAGAAAATAGAACTACTTCAGTTCCTACTTCATTTTTACCTGTGGCAACACCTTTAGTTTTGCTCTCTAATACACAATCAGCTAGACCTTTACCAAAGAACAGTATACATATAAAAGAAATTGACCCAGTGCAGTGTTCTGATAAGTTACAGGAACTGAAAGATGTTAAAGATGAAAAGATAAAATATTTCAATAGTAATAAAGAGTTGCCTTTATTTTCAAACAATGTTCAAGCTGCCTATATACCTCACAACTCTGATGCAAAAGATAAAAAACAGAAAATAACTGAAACATCAACATCATCGTCTAATGTAATTTCTAATTGTGACTTAGTTGGTCAGCACAAGAAAATGAAATACAATATTCATGAAAGAAGTAGTGTGAGATTTCTTAAAAGTATTTTGAAGAAAGAATCTAAATACGAACATGATTATTTTAAGGCACTAGTTATAAAGCAGGGCTTTAAGTTGGGAAATCAAAAAGCAGAAGCTATCAAAGATAGTATCGAATTAACAAAAGAAAAAGGAAACAGTGCAGAAATTCCAAAGACTATTAAAAAACTGAGGTGGTTTGATGAAACTGGAGATATGGGGAGAAATGCTGAAGATAATCATTCACTGAACAGTGGAATAGAAATATCTCAACAGTGGTCTCAACCATTCCACATTCAAACAGAAAGCGGTGCTGCCAGCAACATAATTAGTGTTCCTGCTTATGCTGTGAATTCTGCTGATAGAAAAAAATCTGAGGATGATTCCTCTGGAAACATTGCTGCATTGGGAGGATCTGGAACAGACCATGTGTCTTTGAACTCTTTTATACCTTCAAGTCATAACATTGCTAAACAAGCCTGGCCAGCCTCAAAAAAAGAGGAAAGTAAATCTTCTATACATAGCGGTGATTCTAAAACTAAGAAAGGTAATCCACAAAGAGGTGGAGCAAAAGTAATCAGGACAATATCTGCTAAAGTCCAATCAGGTTTTATATATCCAAACAGAAAAGGCACTGTTATTCGACCACAGTCTACGAGCAAGGCCAACACATTTCTACAAGCTCATGGTAAATTAATTGTACCTCATCCTCCTCCTAAATCTCCTTCAAATATTAGGAGTGATAAAAACATACAAGTTTCTCAGTGTCAATCAGTAATGCCTGAAAATTCTCAAAACATTATTACAAATAACTATTTTAATACAAAACCTGTGCTTCAAACAGAACACAAGTTGAATCAGTGGACTCAAGAAAGTAGTCTTCCACTCTCACACATTTGTTCTGACTTAGTCACTGTGATGCCATCTGTACCATGTTGTTCTTCTGAGTGCCAGACTTCAGCAACAATAAATCATTCACATGGCACTCAAATGGTTGCCCAGCAAGAAGGAACGTTATATTGCACCCAAAGATGTCCTGTTTATGAAGGAAGTCATCACTCTGTGACTTTTAGATCTACTAAAGAAGAATCTGTTCCTGCATGGAAAAGACGGCATAATATTCTAGGTCAAAATGAAAAGGCAGATGGTAAGAATATATATTTTTATAGATAAAATGTACAAATTTTTTAATTCATGTGAAACTTATTAAGGTATAGCAATGTATACCTTATAGATATTAATGTTAAATAATAGTTTAGCTTTATAGAAACAACTTATTTCCCTTAATATTGTGCCCTTGTCTATCCAGTAATTGAAGTTTTTAAAAGAATGACCCAACCTTTACTCAACTAAAATTTGAAACTTTGCTAGCCTCCATTTTTTCCATGACTTTTCTTTTTAGTTAAAAAGAGGGAGGACAAAGAGTCAGATCTGATTAATATTCCATATCGTTTTGTCATTACCCCAATATTATAGTCAAAATGTCTATCAAAATAATCATAGTAAAAAATATTATTTAAATTATTCTAAATAGATAAATAAATGTTATAATACTTTTCTTTATTTTTCTTTAAAATGTTTGTTGAATTGAATTGTTATAAGCTAATAATAGATGTGCCAGAACTTTTCATCTTTCTAAAAGAGTGGCAGCTCTACTGTTATCAGTTATATACGTTGGTTTTCATATGGAAAAAAAATGATAGCATTCCTTTAAACATTTTTGAAAATTAATTCTCTACAGAATGGCATTACGCGGTTGATGCCACATAAAGCTACTTTTCTCTAAGGGAATGGACTAGAAGCCCAAAAATTTCCTACCAGTAGGAATCAGTTGACTGTTAAGAAAAAGGTAGGACTTCAGGAGAAAATCAGAAAAGCAATGCTTTCCTTTTCCCAAAGATATGAATAAATATTAAGAAGATATAAAAAGGGAATTAGTTTAAAATTGAATATTCAAAGACTTCTTCAGTTAGACCAGAGAATTTAAGGACCGTGGGATTTATTTTGTGATTCATCACTGTATCCCCACGTCCTAACTGTGCCTGGCACTTCATAGACACATGAACTTTTCTTGAATAGATACAAGCCATATTAACAGATGGGAAGCTAAATGCAAAGACTGTAATCTAAAAATCTTTAGCATTTATCTGCAAGAGCCTAGATAATATATATATTTCATTCTCTTCTTATCCAGCCATTTCACCATGTAACTTTAGTTTTCACACTACTTCCAAAAAATGAAAGCATCATACAGATTTGATATGCAAAAGCAAATAATGATAAATTATGATTATGTTTTTTGAGTTCTTACTCTATGCCAGTTACAGTGCTAAGTCTTTTTATTTATTGTCTCATTTAAACCTCATGATAACCTTGAGAAATAAGTATTATTTAAAGCCCTATTTTGCAAAGAAAGAAATAGAATTGCCCAATGTCAAGAGCTAGTAAATAGCAAAATTGATATTTTAATCTAAATATCTATGGCACCAAGTCCCATACTTTTTCTATTAAAACTGCATAATAAATATAATTATTAAGCAAATATATATATACACACACACATATATCAGGAAAATTTTAGGAAATATAGTTTTCCAATAGCTTGAGCATGAAAGGGTAGCATATTAAAATTATGTTCTCATTCTCTGATAAAGGAATAAAATATATATGTTCATATGGAGAAACCCTTATTTTCCCAACTTTAGGCATTAGATTCTTATAGGATCACCCGTGCCTGGGGCCAAAAAGGTTGAGGACCGCCAATCTAAGGTAATCTCCCTTACTTAAAGCAAACTGATTATAGACTGTAATAAAATCTATAGACTACCTTCACAGCAACACCTATATTCATGTTTGATTGCATAACAGCAAACTGTAGACTAGGTGACACATCAAAAAGACCATCATACCATTTTTTTTTTAAAGCCAAAATATTCGAATAAGCTTTTCATAAAGGAGGATAGCCAAATGGTCAATAAACATGAAAAGATCTCAGCTTCACTCCTCAGGAAAATCCACATTAAAATAATTACATATAGCGGCACACATCACAATGACTAAAGTTAAAAAGATAGAATACTATTAATAAAGATGTATAACACCTGGAAACTCATATCTACTAAAGTTGAGCATATGCGTATTTTATGACCCAGCAAGTCTAATTCGACAGATTGTGTATGTGTCAGAAATTCATTCATATGTAAACCAAAAGACATGTATAAAGATTTTCATAGCAGTTTTGTAGCCAGAACCTGAAATTATCTCAAATGTCTTTCAACGCTACAATATATAAATAAAGCAAAATTCCATCATTCATTCCATGAAATACCATAATGAAAATGAATGAGCCACTACTAAGAAACAGTAATGTGGATGAATCTCACACCATAAAATCGTGCAAAAAAAAAATTTATATTTTATGTACATTTTTTCATAAAAAAAAACTATATTTTTTTTTCTATCACTTTCATGAACAAGTAAAACTAAGATGGAAAGTATATGGAAACAGGTAATGAGAAAGCTTTTTCAGTGCTGGTAGTTTTTTTTATAATAAAATATGGATATTTTATTCCAGCTCTGGGAAATGAAAAAGAGCAGGTAGGGAACAAATTCTTCCATACACCATTCTAATTTAGCTGACATTAATTACAAAATGGTAAACTAAATATATGTGTATAAGTATTTAGATATATACATACCTATTTTTTTCAGAATTTAGTCTCATAAGTGCTCATATATTTACACTGTTTTTTTATAAACACCTTTAAAAGTCATCAAATGTATCTTCATACTACTACCTCTGTCTCTTCAGCAATCATTTAATATTTTTGGATTGTATTTGCTGTTTGCATTTTAATCAAAGTATACATTAGAAGATGTAAGGGAAAAACTTGCTTTAAGTTATACTATATGCGTTGCAGTTACGAATGACATGATTTTTTTTCATCATCATTTGCAAATTCACACATCTTGTAGCTCTCTACGTAGATTCTTTCAGCTTCTAGTGCTGTACATATCTACATCTTCTGGATGGGACTGCCCGTGATCCATGAGCTTGAGGTCAGGCACAAACAGTGAAGCACCTTAGGTAGAGTATCATTTGGTCTTTGTTTCAGAGTTGAGTTCTATTGGCAAAGCCACTGAGTGTTTCAGATTATAAATTGTTTTTGCAGGTATTTCTGTTTCAGCAGAGCTTCCTAGCTTAGTTTTTTCTTTAGGTTCAGGAAGTGATTCTTTTTTGTTGTAGCATATGCCTTTTTCCCAGTTACCTTCGCAATTATTACTGACTGCACTGGGTAAAAAACGGTTGCTCCTAAAGTGGCCAGTCCCAGTGGATAAGCAATTTTCTTAAGTCTAGAACTTTTTCTTGCTGAAACCAAGCCTGCCAATACTGAAACTGTAATCACTCAGATGGAGGCAAAGCCCATTTGTAAATTACCTGGCAGCTCTTCAATGTATTTAGACTGGAGAGGTGGTGCAGTATAGATGGGGAGCTGCTCTGGTTTCACTAGCTGCTTTCTGGATTCTTCTTTTTTGGCTGCATGCACACTTATAGATGTACACATCAGACTTGCAGGCACGGTTGTCACCTTTCCCATCCCAATGGCCGCCATGTATGTGACCCTCTCTGCCCAAGTTTTCCTCAGTGCTGGTAATGTTTTATTTCTTGAATTCAGTGGCTATGCAATTTGGGTGTGTATATATAATTCTATACTTATAATCTGTGCATATTTCTATAGGTGATTGTTCTTCAGTTTTTTAAAAAGGCAAATGATATTGGCATATTAAATACTAAATCTGAAATCAAAAAGAATGCATTTTTTTCCTATTCCAGGTAGTATTAAGAATACCTTCAAGGAATCAAAAATTTGATTACTAGAAAAGACCAAAGATTCAATTGCATTTAACTCCCATATTTTATGCGTGAGGAAGGTGGCACACATAATAGTGAAATTATATAGCCCAAGATGACACAGCTAGTTTAAAGCAGAGCCAAGATTTTTGTCTTGCAGCTGCAGTGTTCATACCTTAAAATAATCCTAGTTTTCATGAGATCAGACATTTAATCAGAGACACTGAACAATTTTTATTCTAGGTAAAAATTAGATAGCATTTACTATATGCCAGTCACTATTCTAAGTACTTCACATATGAAAACAAATTTAATTCTCCTAATAACTGTGAGATAAATAACATTATTCCCATTTTATAAATGAGAAAAATGAGGCACACAGAGGATTCATAACTTGTATAAGTCACATTGCTAGCATAAACGGCATAGCAAGGATTAAAATGCAGGCCTTTTCTCTCTAGCATCTGTGCCCTTAACCACATAGCTATTATGCTTATTTTTAAAAACACTCCCTATGTGGGGGGAATGGAGGTGTTAATGTATATAATATATAAGAACAAGTTAAAGACTAATAATAAATGAAAAACCCTGTACCCACTGCCCAGTTTTAGAAATAGAAAATCACTAGTATTGTTGAAATCTTATATGCCTCTCCCCAACTGCATTCCCTTCCTCTCTTACAGAAATGACACCATATAGAATTATGTTAATGATTCCATGCTTTTTAAAAATAATATTGCCACATGTATCTCAAATGATATATTATTTAGTTTTGCCTAGTTTTGTAATTTATATAAATGGAGCTAGTTCATCTACATTCTTTTTTTTCTTTTTATTCTTTTTTATGATTTGCATTCTATATTTTCTTTTTTTAATTATAATTGACATTAAATATCATTTTATATCACCTTCAGGTGTACAACATAGTGATTAGACATTTACATAATTTATGAAGTGATCCCCACAAAAAGTCTAGTACCCACCTGGCACCATACATAGTTATTACAATATTACTGGCTATATTCTTTATGCTGTGCTTTAGATCCCCATGACTATATTGTAACTATCAATTGTACTTACTCCCTTCACCTTTTTCACCAAGCCCCCCACATCCCCTCACATCTGGCAACCACCATTTTGTTTTCTGTATCTAAGAGTCTGTTTCTATTTTGTTTATTTATTTAAATTGTTCTTTAGATTCCACATGTAAGTGAAATCATATGGTATTTGTCTTTCTCTCTCTCTGACTTATTTCACTTAGCGTAATACCCTTTAGGTCCATCCATGTTGCCACA